TGCTAGCTCTGTAAACAAACAAGCCGGCTGATGAGACGTCACGTCTTTTACTGCGCATGTGTGTCACATCAGTGCTGTGTAGTGTTCACACAGGGGTCTGATACAGGTCACATTTAAAATGTAATGTGAACATCCACACAAAAAGATCAGATTTTTTCAAAAAATCGGAACTGAGCATTAAGACCTGCAGTGTGAACGTAGCCTAAGAGAGGGACCTGAGACCAGTTCCAGCTCAAAGCAAAAACAAGTCCGAAAAGAGACTTTCAAGAATAAAGAAATGCTGATCATCACAGATAAAATGGTGAATGAGATCCGATGCTTCTGGAACAAGAAAAAAGTCAAAGTTTTGTGTTTTGCTGATAAAGTGTTTGACCTCGCAGAGAAAATTCTAGAAATAGCAGAGTATCCACCTCTGAAGACCCTCATCATTCATACAGGAAGTGATGAATTATGAACCGACTGTCAGAAATCCTGAAGAAGGATTTTATTCAGTTGCTGAATGCAGTTAAAAATCTCAACATGGATGTGTTCATCAGTGGACCCATTCCTACAGTCCGAGGAGGGGCCGAGAGGTTCAGCAGACTGTTTGCCCTTGATGGCTTTTTGGAAAAGTTCTGTGCTGACCACTCAGTGAGATATGTGGATAACTTTGATCTCTTCTGGGAGAAAAAATATCTCTTCAAGTCTGATGGAATGACTTTGAACCAACATGGATCGGAGCTGTTAGCTCAGGGGTGTCAAACTCCAGTCCTCGAGGGCCGCTATCCTGCATGTTTTAGAGGTTTTCCAGCTCCAACACACCTGATTCAGTGATTGAATTAACTCTTCAAATTGGGCAGAAGCCTGTTAATTACCCAGCGATATAAATCTGGTGTGTTGGAGCTGGAAAACCTCTAAAACATGCAGGATAGCGGCCCTCGAGGACTGGAGTTTGACACCCCTGTGTTAGCTTCAAACATGAAATATTTCCTGAACCAAGTTCCGGCTAGAACCAAACAACAGGAGAGTGATCAGCTGACATATGAGGCTGAAGGACAACAGGTGCAAACTGAGACACCAATGGAAAACAACATGCAAGTGGCTGAACCAGAACCAGAACCACAGAGAGGGGATTTACTTCAAGCTGCTGAACTGGAAGAACACCTGGACTATTTCTTATGGATTTGAGAGAAAGAAGTTGGATTATTTAAGTAAAAAACAGGCTAGCATGGGCTATTGTTTTTATGCTTCTTTCTTTTATACAACATGGCTCGAAATAAACTTAAACTCAAGATAAAAAAGAATGGACATTTAAAAGACAGAGACTAACAAAAAAAAAGTTATTTTTATCTTTAATGCTCTTTAATCCAGAAACATGTTTCTGTTCTTAGAGAAGGGGAGCAGTGGTACAAGCTGAGGGTGGTGTTGAACAGACGGATGCTTCATCCAAAAGACTCTGCTCAGTACTCCGGGGTCATCACCGATGTGGTTACAGACTTTACCAAAAAGATCAAAAACGTGCGCCACAGCAGCCCCACAGGGGATCTTGTTCCGGACATTGCCAACGAGCTGTATCTGTTTTCACTAGAGGGTAAGAATTAAACTTTTAACTATCTGGTTCRAAATCATTCAATTTTAATTTTATTTTTGCTTGTTTTGTTCACGGACAGGTATCTCCTCCATATTATTTGAGACGAGGCTCGGCTGTTTGGAGAAGGAAATCCCTGCCGGCACACGAGAGTTCATCCAGTCCATCGCACAGATGTTCTCCAACAGTATGGCCGTGGTGCTGACGCCAAAGTGGAGCCGCCGTCTGCTTCCTTACTGGGGGCGTTACATAGCCGGCTGGGAGGGCATCTTCACTTTTGGTGAGATTCAATAAAGGGCACTCATGAGGATTGAAATAAACAGTACGGTACGTTACATTACAGTAAGATAAGATAAGATACAATACGATACCAGGGAACAAATGATGAAGCAATGAATATGAAGAGTGACTAACATGCTACAGGTGTGGCAGTGAAGAAGAAGCAAAACTAAACACCAAATTAACAGTTTTAAGACAAAGTAGGAGCAAATCTAAAAGTTTAAAACAGTCCCACCGCTCATAATAACTCTTCACTTTGTGATCCTCCTGTAGCTAAAGTGTTGATTGACAAGAAGATGAAGGACATTCAGCAGCAAGTGGACAAAAATGAGGACGTGAAGGGGGAGTATCTGACGTACATCCTCTCAAACACGGAGATGAGCCTTAAAGACGTTTACGCCAGCATCACTGAGCTGCTCCTGGCTGGAGTGGACACGGTACATCAACACATTTCTGTAACAACGTTAATGCGCTATAACTGTGCGATATAGAGTAAATATCCTACCCATTTCAGCTGGATACATGTGGCTTCTTCTTTGCATGATAGAGCTTTAAGCAGAATTTGGGTTAGCTTTTTGTTGCTGCTGTCAAATTTATTTTGCAAAGTCTTGCTACCTCATTTTTTATTTAAAACATTTGATACTTCAACCTCTGTGTTTTATATTTATATTTTGTCTGTTTAAAGACCTCCAACACACTCACATGGGCCTTGTACGAGCTGTCCATGAACCCCCAAGTCCAGGACAAACTGTATGAAGAAGTGTCCTCGATGGTACCTGCAGACCAGACCCCCACTGCTGCTCAGGTCACCCACATGCCGTATTTACGAGCTGTCATCAAGGAAGCTCTCAGGTGTGACTGTTTTATGAAATATAAGGCTGAAAGATCTAGATTTAAACATGTACTGTGTTCAGAAACATTTTTACTTCTGTTACAGGATGTACCCCGTTGTTCCTATAAATGCAAGGATCATAAAAGAACAACCGGTAACTGTTGGTGGATATAAGTTCCCAAAGAACGTAGGTTTATTTTCATTTTGTTAGTGCCTTTAAGAAATGAGTGTCCTCACATTTTGATAAATTTCATACATACATTAGATTCTTCATTGTTTCCTGGTTGTTTTTGGCAGACTACTTTCAACTTCTGTCACTACGCCATGAGCCATGATGAGAACACCTTCCCACAGTCAAACACGTTTCAGCCCGAGAGGTGGCTCCGCGACGGCCGCCAGAGGCCCAACCCGTTTGGCTCCATCCCCTTCGGCTTCGGGGTGAGAGGCTGCGTCGGGCGCAGGATCGCTGAGCTGGAGATGTATTTGCTTCTGTTTCACGTAAGTGAAGAGTAAAAAGTAATCTAAAGAGAATGAAGATTAAAAATTGTAAATGGTAAATGAAACTTTACTTTTTACAAAATGTAATAATTTGTTTAGAAATATCAGATATATTAGATTGTCAAATTAAGCCCCCTCCAAGGGGGAGAAGGTAGATGTTGAAAACAAAGGGACCCAGGACAGAACCTTGGGGCACACCTGAAGTAACAGAGGAGGAGTAGGATCTGAAGGATTAGAGTTGAACAAACTGAGTGCAGCCATGAATGATTCTCAGCTACTACCACGTCAAGTTTTAGGTCAACATTTAGTAAATTCAGTATTGTTATCTCCTTTTTTTTCTTTTGTTCTTCTTTCCAGCTGATCCGTCAATTTGAAGTGAAACCAGACCCCAAAACTGGGAAGCTAAAAAGCGTCTATCGGACCGTTCTGGTTCCAGACAAACAACTGGACCTGCACTTTGTGGACAGAAAATGAAGAAAATCAGCGTCACTCATTTTTTACACACCAGAATGACTGAAAAGGTTGTGTATAAAAGCTGATTATGTGATATTATCGTTTGTTGCAGGGGATAATGCTCTATTTCATCCCTACTGACCGCCAGAGGCGGTGCTTAAAGCACTGAATGATCACTCTTGCGCATGCTCAGGTCGAGAATCTTATACCAACATGGTCACGTGTGACACCTGGTGACACCGGTAAGTCTATATAATCACGTGACAATGCCAGCTCAGTCCCTTTTCATCTTCTCACATGCAGGTTGAATAGGTGGTAAGACTTTGATTGTTGCTTGTCGCTGGTAGCCTCGCGACTACGGTCGGAGCTGCGAGGATTCTCGCCCTCTAGAGGCTGCGCAAGCTCCTCATTGTTACAACTTTTTTCTTCGATTGGTAAGTTATTTTCTCTTAGTCGACGGGAGCGGCGGCGTCTGCTTTCCGCATCGATTTTTCTGTTGCCGGTGGTACGGCGTTAGCCAACTCCGACCAGTTGTTGATTAGCCGTATCGGCTTGTATTGTGGCAGCCGCGTTCGGATTGCCTTTAATTGATTATTGCAGCCGTTTTCGGGATTGCTTTTTCTTATATTGTGCCGCCGTTTACTTGTCTTGTCTTGTTAAGCATAGCCGTTTCGGCTTGTTTTTTGTTAACGTTGTGCAGCCGTGTTTGGCTCGTCTATATTTAGTTTAATTGCAGCCGTTTTCGGGCTTGCTTATTGTTTTACGTTGTGCAGCCGTGTTCGGCTTGCCTCATACGATATTGCAACCATGCTACGGTGAACCCCTGGTGGCGTTTTCTGCTCGACCGGGTCCCTAGTCCATTAGGCTAAGTGTCAAGAGTGGCGATTTCAGCTCGACCTGACCTTGTCTTGTGAGCGTAAGATGCTGGACGTGCCGGGCTGCAGAGTCTGTTTGGCCCCTCTCCAATTGGAGGATGGGCATGATCTGTGTTCTTCTTGTTTGGGCCTAGATCACCCAAAGGAGGCCTTGACTGATGCGGCCTGCCCTAATTGTTCTGTTCTGCCCTTGTCCCTGCGTACCGCTCGTTTGGCTGACCTTCAAGGTGCCAGCCGGCCTGTGAAGCGTATGGCTCCTGAGGCTATGCAACCTCCACTTAAGAGGACAAATGAGAGCTCCAGGGATTCAGAAGGCCTACCTGGGCAGGTGGCCCATCTTACTTCCGAGTTGGAGTAGATGAAAGCACTGCTCGAGTCCCTTAGAGGCGGCAGTGGCTCTGGTCTGACTGGAGACCCAGTCCCAGGGCGGAGCATGGGTTCAGGGCTCTCCGTTTTAGATGATGATGCTGTATCCCTGGCAGCGTCTGGTACTGATTTTCAAGATCCGTTTGAATCTGGCTCCCATATGTCAACAGCCAGTTCGCGTCACTCTTCCTGCTCTCAGTCGGAAGAGGATGATTCGATAGTGGGCGCTTTGAGAACTGCGCTTGCTTGGCTGCAGCTGGATGCTCCACAGAGCCAGCCTGATGCTTCCAGTGCTTTCTTTCGGCGTCCTACTACTAGGTCGTCCTTTATGGTTCCCCCATCTGCCAACTATATGAAGGAGGTTCATGCCTGTTGGGCAGATACTAAGGCTTTTGCACGACCGACCTCTGATGGCAGGGCTCTGGCGGCCATGCAGGATGCGCCCAGGTTTGGCTTGGGTCATATGCCTTCTGTCGAACCTGCCATAGCATCCCTCATTTTGGCTCCAGATGAGGTTCTGAGAGCCAATGCGAGGTGTCCTCTTCCTCAGTGTTGTGTGACTGATGATCTGTTCTGTAGAGCTTATGACTCAGGGGCTCGATTGGGGTGACTCTGTAATTCATTGTCGCATTTATTACTGGGTCTCTCAGCCTCTCTGGAGGGCTTGGTGATTGATGCACCTACTCAAGGTTTGATGGACGCATCTCTTCATGCGTTTGCTCTTTTGTCCAGGGAAATCGGCCGTGTCCTGTCTACCCTTGTCCGGGCATGACGCCAGGTCTGGCTGGCACAGTCTCCGTTTACTGAAGCTTGTAGATGGACCCTGATGAGTCTTCCAGTGGTCCCGGGGGAGTTGTTTGGCTCTGCTGCACTTGCAGCCTTGGAGCGATCGGCCCAGGCTTCTCATACCAGGCAGCAGCTGGCCGGCCTTCATCGCAGGCGACTGCAGCGCCCTGCTGGGAGTGCCTCTGCATCTTTTTTCATGCACTAATCCAGCCCCGTCTACACCCTCAGTGGGGCAGCCACGGCCTGCTGCAGGGCCTCCTCCTGGCCAGTGGGACGTTTCCAGGGGTCAGGCTCGCATTGCTTCTCAACTCAGGCAGTCCACTCGGCAACCCTCCCGCCCTCTTAAGGGCAGGGGGGTTCGGAAATGATACCGAGCTGGTGGTGGGACACTTTACCCCGGACCAGCTCAGTCGCTGGACTGCTCTCGTTCCCGATCCATGGGTGGTATCTACACTGACTCTGGGTTACACGCTACAGTTCCGCCGCCGCCCTCCTGTTCCTGGTCAGGATGACTGTGATTCACGACCAGGCAAAGGCTCAGGCTCTGAGTCATGAAATAGATGCCTTGCTGGCCAAGGGCGCTACATTGCCATCGACCCCCTGCTGGATCCAGGGGGCTTTTCCTCAAAGTATTTTTAGTCCCAAAAAAGACCGGCGGACTCTGCCCAATTTTGGACCTCAGGGGTCTCAATGTGTTTTTGAAGACTATTCCGTTCTACATGTTGAGCGTCAGGGATGTGCTTCAGACAATCTCCCCAGGCGACTGGTTCACCTTGGTCAACTTGAAGGACGCCTACTTTCTTGTTCCGATTGCACCACACCATTGGCAGTTTTTCCACTTCACATTTCAGGGCAAGCATTTTCAGTTCAGAGTTCTTCCATTCGGCTTGTCTCTGTCCCCGCGTGTGTTCACGCAGTGCGTGGCTGCAGCCCTGTCTCCTCTGCAGGCCAAGGGGTTGAAGATCCTGCCTTGCTTAGACGATTGGCTAATCTGTGCGCCCCACAGAAGCTCAGGCGGCGGCAGACACACACACACATTACTCCAACACATAGACTTGTTGGGTCTTCGTGTGAACTGGCAGAAAAGCAACTTGGTTCCATCTCAGCAGGTCACCTTTCTTGGGATCACGATGGACTCCCTCACTATGACTGCTCACCCGTCGCCTCAGCGTGTCGAGGACATTCTTCAAATGCTGTCCTCCTTTCTACCAGGCTGCGCACTCCTTTTCTTGCTTACCTTCGTCTGTTGGGAAAGCTGACTGCTGCTGCTACAGTGATACCCCTGGGATTGTTGTCTCTGCAACCACTACAGATGTGGCTCAACAGCCTAAGGCTGCACCCATCTTGTATGCTGCACCGCCGCAGGAGACTGCTGGTGTGCAATCAATGCCTTGCGTCACTGGTTCAGTGGCGAGAGGCAGGGTTTATGACCAAACGGATTCCACTGGGCTTGCTGCCGGCTCGTCGAGAGGTTGTCTCTACCGATGCATCCACCACAGGATGGGGGGCATCATGGCAGCAACAGATCGCCCGGGGGACATGGTCCCCGCAGGAGAAACTGCAGCACATCAACGCCTTGGAGTTGGAGGCTCTGCAGTGGGCGTTGCGACACTTCATCCTGGGCCTGCGCGGGAAACATTCCTAGTGCGGTCGGACAATACTTCGGTGGTCTTTCATATCAACCATCGGGGGGTGGGGGGGGGACATGGTCAATAACATTGCTGAGGCTGACCCAGAAGCTCTTGACCTGAGCAGCCCCTCTTTTTGCCAGCCTAAGGGCGGCCTACATTCCAGGGGTGCGGAATGTTCCGGCTGATATTCTGTCTCGGGGACGCCCACCACCGGGAGAGTGGAGGCTCCACCCGGAAGTAGTGGGGGTCATTTGTGAGAAGTACGGCATACCAGCTGTGGACCTGTTTGCGTCCCGAGGGACAGCACATTGCCCACTTTGGTTCTCCCTGGCAGACACTGCCAGTCCTCTGGGTCAGGATGCACTGGCACACGACTGGCCAAAAGTGCTGCTCTATGCTTTCCCGCGGTTTCCCCTGATAGGCCCAACACTCCTGAGAGTCCTTCAGGAGGGGCATCAGGTCCTTCTAGTGGCCCCCTTATGGCCGTGGAGAACCTGGTTTCCACTGCTGCACAGGCTCTTTTGCAGCTCTCCAATGCCTCTCCCCCACAGGAAGGACCTTCTGTCACAGCTGGGGGGTCGGATCCTGCATCCCAATCCCAGTCGCCTCCAGCTCTGGGTTTGGCTGCTACGAGGCCCGGCATCTCCTTCTCAGAGTATGACGGAGATGTCGGGCATACAATGACTAACGCCAGGGCCCCTTCGACACGACTGGTGTACACTCATAAGTGGAAAGTTTTTGACAGTTGGTGTCGTGCTAGACATGTGGATCCTGTAAACTGTTCTATTTCAGTAATTTTAACCTTCCTTCAAGTACTGCTTTCTCAAGGTCAGTCTCCGTCCACTCTGAAAGTTTATGTAGCTGCCATCTCTTGTTGACATGTGGTGGTGGATGGTGAGACAATAGGCCGTAATAAGGACGTTTCTTTGTTTCTGAGGGGTGCCCGGCGCTTGCACCCTCCCTTACGCCCTGTCGTACCTGTGTGGGACCTCTCTCTTGTCCTCACTGTGCTGCAATCTCCCCCGTTTGAGCCCTTGGCAGAGGTGAACCTTGAGTATTTGTCAAAAAAGACTGCCTTTCTCCTTGCCATGGCTTCGGCGAAGCAGGTGGGTGAACTACATGCGCTGTCTGTTCACAAGTCCTGTTGCCGTTGGAACCCAGCTGGCTCTGGCGTTACTCTTTGGCCTGACGTGACATTTCTTCCTAAGGTGGCCTCATCTGCGAGCCACTTTGTACCCCTCCAGCTTGCTCGCTTTGACACAGGTGGGCCTGATGAACTTCTCTGCCCTGTTCGGGCACTGGAAAAATATGTCAGACTGACAGCTTCTCTGCGGCAGTCTGATAGTCTGTGTTTTTGCTATGCAGGGCCACGCAAGGGGCAGGCCCTTTCCAAACAGCGCCTCGCGTGTTGGATTGTGGAGGTGGTGGAACAAGCGTATGTTCTACAGGGCCACCAACCTCCTGCTGGTGTATGGTGCCATTCCACCAGGAGCATTAGTGTGTCATGGGCCGCTATGACTGGGGTCACACTGGAGGCTATCTGTGCAGCAGCCTGCTGGTCATCTCCGAATAC